TCACAGAAGGAATCAGGGGAACAGAGCCTTCTCCTGCCAGTAACGACACAGGTAAGGATGGAAATATCTGTCCCTGATGATGTGTTTAACTAGCTCATTGGCACTCCAAGCTGTTTTGATGGCCATGGCTGCTGTTGAGTCTTTCTGGAAGAACTCATCCACACAGTGTAGCCACGCCCAGGCATCCTCTGGGGTTGGGTACAACTGCTCTTGTTCATGACAGACACATTCTCCTGTGGAAGAATGCAAAACAATTTACAGTTTACAATTTACAGTCATGTGACAGTTACCTCTTGTTACTTTTATCCATTATCAATTTTGGTTGAACCTAAATTATTATTATTTATCATCTATGTTACATTTGATTTGATTTCTGTATATGACCAGTACTATTTAATTTCCTGTATTTATTATATATTATGTTAAGTTATAATTTATGTTACATCTGATTCTCTGTACCTTTTGATCTGTTTTGATTTTGTATTTTGTCGGTGCCTTATAAGCCCATATGGGCTGGGCGGCATATTAATTGCAATGGCACGATAATAAGCAGTCATTCATTCATTCATACAGTCATATTCTAATCATAAGATTATTGGAATGGCATATTTCACCTGTAGCATTGTTGCAGGCATATGTTCAGCAGCATCACTTCTTATCAAAAGCACAACAGTTATTGTTACAGTAATCTTATCTTGATGAGTTAATAGAATCCAATGTCTCAATGTAACAAGTGCATAAATGTGCATGTGTGTGTATGTGTATGTGCATGTGCATATGTGTGCATGTGCATGTGTATGTGTACTATGTGTATGTGTATGTGTACTGTGTGTATGTGTATGTGTATGTGTATGTGTATGTGTATGTGTATGTGTACTGTGTGTATGTGTATGTGTATGTGTATGTGTATGTGTATGTGTATGTGTATGTGTGTGTGTAAATGCATGTGTGTGTGTTGACAGTGTACATGTGCTTGAATGGCATGTTACACATTGGATGGGTGCTGACTAACTTACCATCTTGGTGAGAGCCACACACAGCTGTGTACATGAGAGGTGGAGTCTCCACAGGTGTAAGTGGTGGTTGGTACATCTCCAGTTTAGGCTCATGGATTCTCTTCTCTTCTGTGTGTATGTAGCTACAAGATGGGGCCTCGTCTGGAGGAAGTTTTTTCCTCGGGACAATATCTTCTGTGCCATGGCTGGGGTCTGGAGATTGATTCAAATAATGTTGAACTTCCTTCTTACAAAAACATTGTAAGTTCACGAATACAACGTATTCATCATGTTATCAAGAATCCACTAAAAAGATAAAGGTGTCCTTAAAAAAAAAAGTTCAATACATGTATTTGTCACGTTTAGTGACACTGTATTGGGGCTCATTTCGCATTGAAATGTCCCTCTGTCCATCGGCTGATCTGATCCATATAGAATACAACACAATGTATTCCGTATCGCCCGAGGTATCGGCCCGACCGCGGCTCGGATCGCCTGACGGCCGTTATCGAACATTATTGCGGCCCGGGTATGATATACATGGTCAGGCTGTAACCTCAGGTACAGAATGCACAATGCACATGTACATGTATGCTATAATTTTACAGTGCTCATTACCTCGAAACTTATGAGACATTTATCACTGTTGTCTTATTTCAGCAGAGTCACAGAACAGATTCTGAGGTAGTTTGTTTGTTTATCTCTATCTGTTTATTCTATGTTTATCTATATGATGATGTTTTTAATCTATTGTGATGATGTTTGTAAAATGTCAATGCAATTCATACGTGCCCGAAGTACTTCGGCACGTCTGCCATGTTGATATCTAATAAAGATTTGATTTGATATCTTACCAAAATTGGTAGACTTCATTCTTGTGTCAGTGCTGTGGCTGTACTCTATAGTAGATGTAGTGGAGAGGCAGTCATTTGAGGAATCAGAAACTGTTCCAGGTGACTCCTGGCCTTGGTGACTGGACGAGTCTTCACTGCTGAAACACTGTGGATGACGGCTCAGGCACAGTCTAATCTTTCTTGCTATGAAAAGAAAAAAAAAAGAAACTATTGACATGCTTGTGGATTTCCAGCATTGGGGCTAGAGTTACGTGTTTGGTCAAGGTTAGGTATAGGGTTGATATATTAAGCAAACCTATTGTCAGCTTATCTTTTAATAGTTCTATGATGTAATACATGACATTGTAGGAACTAAAACAAACTATCATAGCTACATAGTCATGTTCCTTAGCTTAAAACTAGCAGTTCAGGTTTGCATAACTAAGGCCTATATATATAGTACATGTTTCCCTGTCCTTGGCGCTGACAGTATTTCCCAGTCTTACTAACGTACCTTGTGTGTCCTCTGACACCTTACATTCCCAGGTACCACTGCCATCACGACATGGCTGTGATCTGTCTGAAATGGGATGGACTTCAACTGCACACTCTGCCTTTCTTTTCCTGCCTCGCTGTCTGGATGCTGGATGAAATTTAGGCATTATCACATAAATGTGCACCAAAGGGCATCTATGATAATGAAAACTTTAAGCATTAAGTATATCCTTGGTAAGACATGCCATTGATACTTACCATTACTAAGTTTATTAATACATTTACTATACATGTGTAAAGTAAGTCTTCTATCAAGAGTTTCAAGACACTGAAGTCTTTATATTCAATGCAATTAGCTTTAGGCAAGAACTTTGTACAAATGTAAGGACCTCCTTCAGTATATTCCAATAGTAGAGCATAAACAGATGAAACATAGATTTATGATAAAATGATACCTGTTCTTCCTGTAACTCTTCTCCATAATTCCTTGTTCACTTTCTTCAGTCTCTTCAAGAAGCGACGACAGGCGTCCTCACCCTTACTGTTGATTATGTCCAACAGGTGCCTTGCACAGTCTTGGCTTAATGTGCAACTTTTCACCAAGTTATGTTCTTCTTGTGTGATCATCTTCTTTGAATATATTGCATCTAATACTTGTTTAATCTGGGGTATGTTCATGTCTTGAACAAGAATGGTGCGGTGCCGAAGTAGGGTGTCTTTGCTTGCACAGTTCTCCATGGCTCCTGGTACCACTACAGATTTCTATTTATTTCTGAAAAAAAATGATTCAATAACTGAGAACTTATAATATAATGTAGGCATGCAGCTGAGTCACAATTTTAATGTGTTTTACAAGGACCTACAAATTATTGTATTCACTCTACTATACACTCTTGCACTTGAAGTTATGGAAGTAAAACAGGGAGAGTAGTTATTTTTGACAATAAAAGAACCAGAAAGCAAAGTTAACGTAAAATCATGCATGGATTTTTTACCTCTATGGTAAAATACCTCTATGTTAAAATACGGTAACTTCCTCCATCTTGGGGAGGGGTTATTTTTATTAAGCGACCTTACCCCTAAAACTTAAAAGCTCGGTGAAAAATAACAGGTATTGACATCTACCATTGAAGTTGAATATACTGCGGTAAAAAATAGCACCTTTTAAAGAAGTCACTACGCCTCAATTTTGATGGACTTAACCTGGACTTAACGTGGTTTTGCAACGGAATTTTGACAACTGGAGAGCGTAAATATTTGTATGTATGCTCACCTAAGTCTTCTGGCGTCCCTAACTTCCCTACTATCGCGAGCCGGAAGTTACAAAACTAGTGTAGTTGCCAATATACGCATGAGAAGTAAATTAGGAGATCAATAGTATGGAAAAGGTCACTAGTGGTCCGATAAACAGCCCCGGCCCGCGGCAGGCTGCACTGAAAAATGGTGGTGAAGTGTGGGTCCCGGGCAAGAGTTGGGGATTCCCCTTGCTCATGTGGAGCTAGCCTGCATGCATATGCATGCAAGGGGCTACTCTCCAAGCAGAGGTTTGGGTTTATTTTTGGCGTGTTTTGCGGCTATTTCATCGGGGTTTGGGTTGGGTGAAAGAAAAATTCCAGTGCAAAAAAGGAACCCTGATAAAAAAAGTCTAAAAACACGCCAAAAATAAACCTAAACCTCTGCTTGGAGAGTAGCATGGGGCAGTTTAAATGCCTTTAAAAGTATCCAACACCTTCTGCTTAAGAGTGTGTGGTCCCCCATGAATTTGCCTAACAGTATATATTTATACAAAGCCTAATCTCCAAACAGATCTTTCTGTAGATGCATATAGTATCAAGCTGGATAGGCAGTATCCAATAAATATGCCACGCGCTAGGCTGTTGTAAAAAAGATACTACATTGTAGTACCAAAGAGGGCCCGATAAACACCTAAAACATGCCAAAACTTAGCCAAAACCTCTGCTTGGAGAGAATGTTTAAAAACCTTTAGTAAACGGACATTGCGGACACAAGCTCTTACAGACTTACTGGGATTTTTTTCTGCCCTTTCTGGTTTTAGCTTCAAATGAGCTGAGGAAACTGTAAGTCTTAACTGGTAAGGTAAAACAAAGACATGGGAATTTGTATGAAGTATATTTATTTGCATTGTGCCGAAAGATCATTAAAACGCTTGCAACAAAAGAGTAGCGTAGAAGTTGATGTAAAGAAAAAGCCACAAAGAATTATTAGAAAACAGTAAACACAATATCAACTACAATTAGAAAGTATTCGACAATATCTTTGAGAAAACTTTCCTTCAGTTCAACTAAAAATCGATCATTCCAATAATACTAAAAGGAAAAGAAAGTAATATAATATTGATATACATAAGATTGTACAGATTAAAATAAAATAGACAACTACTACCGCTTAA